AAAAGAAAGGGTAATTTTAGGGCAATATGTAAAACGTGTGCGTGAATGTATGCATGGTAAACGTAAACACACACACACACACACACACACACACACACACACACACACACACACACACACACACACACACACACACACACACACACACACACACACACACACACACACACACACACACACACACACACACACACACACACACACACACACACACACACACACAACACTCTGTTGTAGATATTTTCCAGCGTTATTAAAGACCAGCTGGGTCTCTTTAGAGTCGTGCAGACCCCTCCACATTAAACATCTTCCCCTGGCACATACTCACACACTTCAATACGCAAATACACACACATACAGGCATATTGCATAGAAGGTGTACAGCTACAGGTTAAAGAACCAGATTCACTGCTGGAAGGAAGTTATTTTCTCACTATTTGGAAATTGTGGGTAAAGTTAGTGAATGAGAAATAATGTATTAGACAAGACTGAAGTTGCTTCGAGTTTCAAATTGTTAATAATGATATGATTAATGCATGTATCTATTTCTTTCTGAAGCTGATTTAATAGCAATGGATCAACACCAGGTTTGTTTTTACTTTAATCATGGACATGCAATCACTTCACCATATCAAGCTCTTTCTCAACCCCACACACACACACACACACACACACACACACACACACACACACACACACACACACAGGCACATGTGAGGCTGATGTATGGATATACATTGCACACATATGTTCACCACTTGTGCTGATATCTTTTGAGGGTATATGTGTCTCCTTGTCTGGTTTATACCTGTAATAAAAGGTCTGCTGTAACTTTAGAAATATCCACCGTGGCCACTGTCATCAATCAACAACCTACACATGAATACATGTGAATACACATGCACATGACAACGCTCACATTGGTTCCCTTGATGTTTATTCTTATAGCCCCCAAACCTGAAATCTTTCTCCAAACACTTAACACTCAAACTAAGCCCTTCTGTGAAAATAACACATAATTAACTTTAAGGAGAGCCAAGAAAATAGTCCTTACTGAGGTTTACCCTCATCTGCATGGAGCCTTGCTTTAGTTCAGGCTGAACAATAACGTCCTCAGCTGATCGGCTATCAGCTGCTTCATTTATGCTTCAGAAGCTCATTGATACATCAGCTGAATGGGAAGCACTAGCTATCATCCAATTGTATTCATAGATGTTTTATAGCGGTGGATATAACAGTTTTCTTGTGATTTCCTCATGCCAGTATCTCTGCTGCAGCTCCACCCAAAGCCAACAGCTCTAAACTAATGCATCTTAAATGCTTGTAGACCCAAGGTTAAATGTGCAACAAAAAGTCTGTTTCTCCTCCATCTCTCTTATTGTGGTCCTCACAAAGATGATAGAAGTTTAATACGGAAAGATTCTGAAAGACTAAGAGAGAGGGAGATAGATGGATGGAGACCGAGAGAGGGTTGGGGAAAGGAGACAGGGATTCTTTTTTTTAAATCTAATAAAAAACAGACCTCACCCAATCCCCTCTGAAGGGGAACAAAATTCCCATGTGTGTACAGTTTACCCCCCCTCCTCTTTCTCGCTTTCTCACTTGTTCTCTCTCTCTACCTTGTGCGCACACACACACTATACTCGATGGAAAAGCGTGCATCAGAGACATCAGAAGCACAAACATAGGCTGATTACACAGTTAACCTTGATGATAATATATTGAAAACCATAATCAACATGATGTAAGTTTGTACCAGTAAACCCGCCAGCCACCTTTTTCTGTTAGATGAAGCTGATGAGACCCACATGTCTTATCTCTCTTATTCATTCAGCAGCAAATGAGCAAACTCATACACACACATACCAGAAACACAGGTTCGTAAAGCCAATGGTTCCAAATCACATGGGCCACCTTTGGCTTTAAAAGGACCCCCTCAGACCTCAGAGACATGAACACATGGTACATTTCCTTTTTGTTCACTAGAAAAGTTATTCCTTTCCATGCCCTACAAGACAAACCCTGTACAACAGGAGTTTACAGGCCATGATTATATCCAGAGGGGCCTGCAGGAGGTCTGTCATGAATTTATTTTGATCCGTGACATGAAAAAATGTAAAGAGCTTTCAAGTGACTTACTGGAACCATCAAAAGGTATCTGTCTGCAGCTGTCTGGATGTCCAGGCCAGGGGCAGTAGTAGACGGCCCCAGCCTCCACAATACCAGGCTGAGAGGTGTTTGCCTTGGGAGCCCCAACCAACACACTGATCCTGGTTGAAAAAAAAGAAACCCAAGGTACATGCAAGACATGCAGGAAAGTTTATATATGCAAACTTGTATACAAAAAGCACAATTTCATCCATTTCTGTTTGTATACTTCTGTTTTGCTCTGTGTGGTGGACATTTGAACCATTGCTTAGCCTGTCCTATTACAGTATGTGCAGCTTCAGAGAATAAAGCAGCATTTATTTTTCATCTAAGTTAAAGTTTTCACCTCACATCATTGAGATTCTATTCTTTTGAGCAGAAGTTTTTGCAGGTTATATTAGAAGTGGAGGTAGAGTGTAATCAGGACCATGATGGGACAACCTAAGTCCTGAAACTCACGTGTTGCTGTCGGAGGAAGCTTGGTAGAAGTCCACAGAATAGCCAAAATAACTTCCATCGGGTCCCTTGTAAACCGAAGGATGCTCTGCGTAAAGGTTAAAACTTCCAACTCCATTTAGCACCGACAGCAGCCCGAGAACAAACATCCCAGCGCAGGAAACACAGTCCCAGACACGCTCCATCCCCGAAGAACACCAAGGAGCGCACTATTCCAGAAAAATGAGAGGGAATAGGGAGAAAGCAGAAGAGGGGGAGAAAGAGCGAGAGAGACAGAGATGGTTTCCTCCGTGCAGGTGAGGTTTGTCCTAGTTTAAGCGCGCCAACTTGCTGTCACTGCTCTCCCCCCAAAATGCCTCCTGACACCCTGAAACCACCAGGTCTTCCCAGAGTCTCAAGACTACACACAGCCGCGCCCCCGCCCTCTGCTTAAAACTTTACCCCCTACACACACACACAGACACACACTTACACACTTACACACACACTCAGACCACATCTGAGCGCGCAACGGGACGGGCGCGTCACCGCTCCTTTTATGGCAGAGACAGATTTTCTGCAGCGAATTGTGAGTTTAACACAGAAACAATAAATAACATTAAGTGAGATTAACAGCCACCATGTCAAATGAGTGCAGAATTATACACAGAAAGCACAAAAATGCAAAGAGTTGTACTTCATATATTACCTTACACCACTTTGTTAAACCTTAAAGCAGTGATGCATTTCTTCAGTTTGGCATAATCTGATGTAGTTGTGTCGGTAGTTTTAATTAATATGTCGATTTAAGGCAGAAATCTCTTGAGCTGTGTAAATGCATGCAGTTTTGGACAGTTTACCGTTTCACTCAACACCAGGCGATATTCCCACTAACTAAACCTCCGAGGAAACATACTTCTCTTGTGCTGAAAATAATATCGTGCAATGAAAAACAGTTTGAAGAGGTGACGGGCGAGACCAGACTATAAAGAAATGTCTTATCCAAAAAATCTATCAAATCGTGTGCAGGGCAGAGAAAAATAGGAGAATGTCCCACACACTTTGAGCCAAACTCTCAAGCTGCTGTTTATCATTGTGTGGACTTTGTTTTAATTAAACTAAGCTTTACAGGCACATATGATTAGTGCTGAATTAAACTCCACTGCCAGTCTCGCAGTGTAGCAAAGTGGAGCAGCACAGTGTGTTTTCTCTCAGGAGAGTTGATAAGAACCAGGTGAGAAGGTGAGGTAAAGAGTGAATGAGGAGAACCCAAACTTTGACCTGCCAGATGGAGAAGTTTCTCACATCCCTCTACCTGCTCTGCTCCTACAACACACATCCATTCATCCATTTGTCAATCCCTTCTAGTTTCCTTTTGCATGGTTTCATTTCATTTGTACAAACTTGGTTGTCACGTCCTTTTTGTGCAACAGGGAAGTGAACATGTGTGTGTGTGTCTGGGAGAGAGAGAAAGGAGAAAAAGAGGGTCGGTTCTTCCTCATCTGCTTCTGTGTAAATCTATGGAGAAAAGCGAGAAAAACCTGAGCACACAAAGATGAATAAGTAGAAGATGGTGAATATGATGGAGTGAGGAGGCAGCAGATCCTCTTCTTCTGCCTCATGTGTTAGGATGCCAAGTAACTCACATTACATGCAGCTCAGTTTCAGCATGTGCATGGACTGTCATCATTTTCTCCACTGTCTTACATCCAATAAGTTCTTCACAGATATCTCATTTCCAGGAATGCACACACTCACTCACTCACACACACACTGTTCAGGTTAAGTCCTGTCTGTCTGCCAAAGTGCTGCGATCACGGATTTCCTGCAGGTTCATTCTGGATTGATTATGGCACCAACATGATAGTGCTTTATATTCTACACACTCTGCCAACGTCTCTTTACAAACTCCTAATGCGACTGTTAGGCAGACAATTGTGACACATTAGGCCCACATTCTGCATTAGACAAATCCATTAGACACACACCCAGCCAACATTAACACACTACAGTGGACAGATGCATTCTGGAGCCAGGATATCTGCAGATACACACACAAATGCATAAACATTTAGTTAAAAACTCCAGAGCCAACTAAGTACTTAAATGGGATAAAGTATTTCTCCTAAAACTTGCCGCTTGTCTTGAGTGGATACTTATACACACACACACGAGGGTAGTAACAAGCCACTTATATTTCATTTATGTTCTCTGGGGAATCTTAATGACAAGCAAACAGAAATATGTAGGCTTTTTATGTCTTAAGAGCTAAAGTCATGCTTAATTTCCTCGAATCTCTTTGTGTATAAAAGTCCCTCGCACGTTACCATTCATTCTTAAATACAGCTATTTGTTCGCATGCTTCTACGGTGAACAAAGAAGGGAGAAATTAAGAAATGTTTTGATTATTAAGAAAATTGGGGTTGTGTTTAACAAAAGCAAATGTCAAAACATACATTTGGATGCAGCTACGTTTGGCAACTAGTGAGAAGACGACTGGATAAATACTGAGTTGTGTGCTGATTGACAAACAACATTTTCAACAAGAATTGATGTTGACACCGGGTGAGAAATTGATATAGGAATGGTCATTTTGAGGGTGATATATTACCTTAAGTCACCCTCAATGTCTTGGAGATTTAGTGAATTACTCATTTAAAGACCCTTGGGAGAACAAAAAACAAGTTGGTGTTTGATTTAGCGTTGAGGGGATCCAGGCAGACCATAGACACCCTGAAACCTGAGGTGGTTGGGTGTCAGGATCAGGATATTTATGAGGAAAAGACACAGAGGACATATGCTAATAAAGGTATCCCAGCACAGAGCATTTGAACAAAAAAAGTGTTTATTCCAGAACCTTTAAGTGTGATAATAGATACATGAACACTTGGCCAACATCGTAGTGTGTTGCACAAAGCACAAACACACACACACAGAGACTAAAACTTCTCCTTGGTGACAATACTGACAAAACCTTCTGTACAAATCTCCAGTTCTCTGCGTCCCTTAACGCTGTAAACGCTTATCAGTGAGTGTGAGTGTGAGTGTGTGTGTGTGTGTGTGTGTGTGTGTGTGTGTGTGTGTGTGTGTGTGTGTGTGTGTGTTCTTGTATGTGAAAGGCTTTGGTAGGTTTTCCCTCGAACAGTNTCGTTGCGTCGTCGTGTGTGTGTGTGTGTGTGTGTGTGTGTGTGTGTGTGTGTGTGTGTGTGTGTGTGTGTGTGTGTGTGTGTGTGTGTTCTTGTATGTGAAAGGCTTTGGTAGGTTTTCCCTCGAACAGTCCTATAGCTGGATTAACAGTAGAGTTTCAGTCAACTGGCTGTACTGGGGTTTAATTCCTAGAGATACACTCGAGTCCTTAAACCAAACCAATGTTCTCCCTAAACAGTTTCTACTGCTTAACTGTAGCAGAGGTGTTGGCAAAGAACAGAGCTGCAAAAATAAAAAGTCAATTTTTTTCTTCCTTTTAAATAATTACATCATCGACATCCTGTGTGTCAATCACAAGCCATGGTGAACAGACAATAACATGAACTGTAAAGGTGGGATCTTTGTGGAATTTGGGAGCGAGAATGGATCTCAGGCATGGGTGGTTAGTCCACAAACGTTTTTGTATCGGCCTCTTTTTATTCTCATTCCTTTGTGTTGTATATCTGTGTGTGTGTCAGTCCTGCTGACCTTACAGGGTCAGCATGGATATGGTAAGCCGGCGTTGTGTGTGTGGAGTAGCAGAGGTTCATCCACAGACTCAGACACACACAGAGGTGTCGGTGCTAGTTCAGTGACGGGGAGCGGTCGGTGGACCACAGCAGCTCGATGTAGGGCCACCGGGTCTGAAGGCAGCGCTTCACGGGGGTGTCGTCTGTCCGGACCATGGGGTCCTCAAAACCCAGCACCAAAGCCGTCCCTTCCACATACTCCACCTGAGAACACACACACACAGGTCAACACACAGTTAACGCAGAGTTAACTAAAAACACACATTTGAACACTTCCTGACATATTTGACAGGTTTCAACTCTATTCATCTCTTCTTCCTCTGGGGTGGGGGTCAGGGGTGTGATGCAAAGGACTGATGCAAGCATACAACCGACGCTCGTACACACACAAACACACACACCAGCTGCAGACTGCAGGTCTGTTATTCCCATCTGGAGCTATGGGAATGGAATTGCCATCACGACCTTATAGGCGCCTTGCTGCCATGTGCATATGTGTGTGTAGGCGTGTGTTTTTGTGTGGGCAAACATGTGATGCCATTCTTTCAGGTAGCAGTATGGAAAATATCTGTGTTACAGACCAGGCAAAGTTGACATATGAAGAAAGTGATATTCCTGAGTACCAGGTTTCTGCACAGCCACCAACTACATCCGCTGACAATCATCCATCAAACTAAGCCTTCTTAATAGACCTGCGTTTGAACGTTTGCCGCTGACAGTAACCTCAGTGTTGTAGAAATAGGAGGCTAAGCCAGGGTTTGGGGATGGATGGACAGGCTATTATGCTTGTAATAGCTACTGTTTATTTTGGAGTGGCCTGCCGCCTCTAACTTTGTGTGTATGAATGATGACAGGAAAAGAAGAAGAGCACAGAGGGAAAGAGGATGAAAAGGTACCACAATCAGTTGCAATGAGAAACCTTAAACATGAAATAGTGTATTACCCTCTCGTTGTGGTTGGACTGTTTGAGTCCGTTGTAGTGGTAGATGGGAAATGAGTCTGGGATTCCTGAGTCCTGAAACAGAGATGAGGAGCAGAGTGAAAAACATGCAATGTTGTTAGAGAGTGTCTGAGCAAACTCTTCTCACGGACGGAGGTAGAGAAGCAGAGAGGCAGAACATTTTTGAACTGAAAAGTCAAACCGACACATATCTGCCTGCAACCAAAGCCTAATGTTAAATCCCACGTGGTCAATTGAAACGTGTGTACTGGAGCAAAGCCCTATCTCAAATTACCAGAAAACATTCAACACTAGAAATACCTCAGAACAATGACATTGAGCCAAAACACTTCCAATGAGTTTGGCTTCAAGGTGCATAATGCTAATAGGGTGTGTTGTCTGAGAGCGTGTCCAGCTTCTTGTGTTTATATGCCTATATGAAACCCTAACCCTCACCCCAATCCCACGTGTGTCTGAGTGTGTGTGTGTGTCCAGTTGGCTAATGGTAGTATAATTTCTTTGCGGCTCTGGGCCGTTCCTCTGGTGAGTCCCTAAAGCCCTGATCACTTTAACAGTTTCCCCTCTATCTCTCCCTCTCTTGACTTCATTCTTGTTCTGCCTCATAAAGGCGCCTTACCGCTCTTTCTAAGCTTCGAGAAGCATTGTCATATGATGATGATGTGGGACACATAACATTTCACACGAGACACCACAGGAATGTTTTTGGAATAAAAAACCTTTGATTTGC